CGGCCGACAAACCACACCAAACTGTTGCTCTTTCTGGATGAAATGCCAGCTCTTGAATCTCTTGAGTTTGCTCTACGTCAGAAATGTGGCAATTTTGGTTTTTTACATACCCACTGAGAAAGAAATGGGGCTAATCGCTGAACAAAATGTGGCGCGAAATCGTCGGATCTTCTCCGTACTTTTCAAGAGCCCATAGAGCGAAGCGGTGTCGCTTGCACAACCTGTATTTTGGACACTTTCTATTTGAAATTTCGACGCAAAATACGCCAAGTCGTTCCATACGTCAGTTCGAGTAGCTGGGAACAGCACCGAATCGACTCGTTGTGTGTACTTTCAGCTAAGGCTGCTATTTTTTCTTCACTGCGTGTTGGTCGTAGTCGGTGGTATATTATCCAATAATGAATGCTGGGTCTCAAGATGGGTGATGGTTTTGCGAATAATTATAATCTAAAATCTCGCGTCCAACTACCTAAAAAATATATCAATTCATAGATTTTGTAGAACATTAAAGTCTTTGCAGAAAGGTCTCTTACGCTTATTTCGTAAACGTGTAATTTTCATACATATTACACTATGAGTTTTCCGATTTAAACGGAATATTGGATAATTTGATAAACAAGGCGAAATACAGGAAGAAAAATGAATAAACTTCTGTTTAGACTGCTGATGTCAGTTTTGGCTATGTCGACTGGTTCGCCGAAGATAATACTGCCGAAATGTTTCAACCTGTCTTGCACAGCCTGGTCAATGGGGGAGCAAAAACCTGGATGGTCGCACCTCTCTCTACTTTCTCCCTACGACTTTAACAACTTGTATCCGACAAGACTTTTACCACATGAATGCCTATTGGACAATGTCCACTAAGAGCTCTTACGATTGCGGCAATATGAACGCCTGCTAAGCGCACGCTAGGTCCATTGGTCTAGAGCAAGTTTAAAATGGAGATCCAATTCGTTCCCATTCCAATGTTAGCGTGTAAAGATGCCCCTCTCGTTTGCTCATCGGCTTTGCAGTTAGCAGCGATTCCGCTATGCTATTACGACCGCTTGACTCACCCCAATAGCAACAATTTTCGAACAAAAATGGGCCTCATCTGAGAAGATGATTTTTCGATTCGATTGTTTCGACTACGTGAATTTGCGTAATAATCTTATACAATTTCAAAGCGTTTTACCAAAGTGAAAAGTGTCATGATGAAAAGACAACCGTTACTGAATGACAAAATTTGACATAAATTCATAAACATGGCCGCCACGAGCTTTCAAAATCACGTCACCCTACTGGTAGGTGCTGCACATATACTATATGTACATATATAAACTTCAAAGAATCGTTTTAAAGTCATGTTTAAATTATTTATTTATTTTTTCTCTAATCACTTTTATGTTTTAAACACATATTTTGTTTTTTGTTTACATTCAGTGTAGTCCTCTGACTTGCAAGAACATCGATTCGTACCTCCGTGTTTTGAACGTCCGTCTTATGGTTGTCTTATGTATCCTTATAATTATGCACTTTAAGTTATTTTCAACGCGTGTTTTACATTATTTCGATTCACTAATAGACATTAAATAGAAATTAAAAAATTAAATGGTCAAAGAATATGTAATTAAACAGTGAAAAACTTAAAAAAAATCTGCTGAACGGTTTAGTTGTTGCTTTGAGATATGAACATAAAGTGTGGCATAAAATTTATTTAACCGTTTTAAACATAAACATACAAATTGTAGGACGAGAATTCTAAAGAAAACAGTGTTCAGTTACAAATGTTCATGCGTATATTTAATGAGATATTAGTTAATAATTTACGAGTCACATAAGAGCACTAAAAATTAAATCAAATTAAACTAGTGTTGATTTCTCACATTTCTATGATTTTTTACGATTTTCAATTTTTTTTATTTTTTATTACTGTTATTTTTTGTGTCTTCAGTATTTATAATCAATCATAATTTAGAGATCGACTAACCTATTACAGAATAACTACATCTTTCAGTATACATAAGTTTAGCTTAAGTTATGTATGTATATTTTAAGTTTAAAATATCTTCATATAAATACGCTCGTGCAGTTGCTGTACAGAGCGCTAAAGTACAACACATACATACATACATACATAGACGTTATGTATTTGGGGTGAAAAAACGAAAGTGCTTACGATGAAAGCAACCCAGTTGTGGGAAAAATTAAGAAATGAAGTAGGAAAACAGTTACATACGTCCATTTTTTGTGACAAAGCTCCATGGACATATGATAAAAATAATGGTATGATACATTACTTCTTAGGTGTCAGTGTAAAGTAAATTCATACACACATACACATGTGTTAAAGATATACGTATGAATGCATGTATGCACATTGTTTATGCGTTGGTTCCAAATTGAATTTTACTATATACCAATTGGCATATTCTTAATTATATATTTATGTTTGTCTACTATTATCGCTTCTGTTCTTAAATTTTTACCTCAGTTGCAAAGTTGGTGTCTATTATTTTTTTACAAACTATTAACACATTCCGCATTGAAGGTTTTTCATCACGTTTTACTTTATGTTCTGGTTTCTTTTTGGTTTTATTTTAATTTTTTGTCGATCATTAGTGCAAACAGGCTCAAATGCATTTAAAATTATGTAATTTAATACAGCACTAAGCAAATATAAAAATTAATTTACATTTGTATTCAATTTTACATAAGCCCCGGTAATTTCATACAAGTTTAACAATTTCCATAATGTGGTGAAACATTAAAGTTAAGTTAGTTAGAATTAGTACTCTTTAAGACTACAAATATATTTAAGAATTTTTCAGATTTTTACGGAAACTATTATTTTACTAAATATGGCTAAATAAATATTTATACGCTGAACAGGCTATATTGAGTTTGCTACAAAGTTTGTAACCCGCAGGAGCCGTCTGAAATCCTATAAAATATACATATTTTCATAAATATGTGATCAACATAACGTGCTGAGCCGATTTAGCCATGTCCGTCCATCCGTCTGACTGTATATACGCGGGCTAGTCCGTCAGTTATTGCGGTATCGATCTGAAATTTTGCACATGTCTTTCTCTCCCCAAGGAGCTGCTCATTTATCAGAACTGGAAAGCTGCCAATGAAATTGAACGATCAGTGTCAAGTGTGCAGTAATGAAATATCCAAAGAAATTTTTCAGATCGCATCACTATAGCATGTAACAGATATACAAACTGAACGATGATCAAAATCAAATTCAAGTTTAAAAGAATTCTTTACTCAAACGAAGTTAACGATTTTTGCTAATTTATTTTGAACTATCACTGGACATTTATTGTACAGAATAGTCAAAGCTAGAAAGATCTATCTCCACCAATATCAAAATTTGTTTACAGCTTTGAAAAAATTTATTAAAATTTTTTAAATGAACCCCGATCAGATAAATCTACAAGTTTTTTAATTACATAATATGCGTAGAATCATACTACATATACATTTTTGTTTTTTAACCTGTTTGCATGTTTTCCCGAAGGAGCAAGAAGAGTTAGACGCTTTAGACCAATCAATCTAGTTTCCGAACGGATAACGTAAATACTGCAATAAGCAAAAAATAGTAAGACTTTGTTCATAGTTTTAAAATTCTTAATTCATTCTTCAAAATGTATGTCGTGCCGCTCAAAGGAATCCCCTTGGCCTCAATATACTTGTGCCAACGTATTTTCCAATCCTCGAAATTCCAGAATAAGCTTCAAAGCGCGTTGCGATTGACTCAAAACGGTTTTCCACGAACTGCTGAATAGCCAGAACACACACGAAGCTAAATCAGGCGAATACGGTGGTTGCGGCACGATATTGGTTGACTTTGATTTTTGAACTGCGTTGACGTGATTTTTTCAGCTTTGGCGTGCCTTTGCTATAACTTTGGGCCAATTGATCATTTATTTAGTGATTTTGAACCCAATCGTGCTTTCTTAGGCTCAAATGATCTTTGAAAATGGTTTTCACTGGCCCTTCAGATATTCCAACGATGCCAGTAAGATCTCTGACTGTTAATCGCGGATTCTTGATGTTGATGACCGTCCTAAACGTGATTCGTCGCCAACGCGTTCTCGAACCTCTTTGAGCAATTTGTTATCATTTGTTTGAATCAAAAACACTCGCTCGTGACAAACAAATATCACCGAAGGCCTTTTCCAACATTCTGAACGTTTCGGCACCAGAAATTTGATTCCGTACACAAAATTTAGTGGAACTTCTTTATTGAACAATTTCACCCCTATGTAAAAATTGACGAATGCACTTTATGTACTTCAGAAAAACAATCATGATGAATCACTAGTGTTATTTAATTTTGGTGTGAATTTTGGCACAGATGTCACTGACAATTATGCCAACCTAGAAAAATAATATTTTGACGAATGGGAAATTTAAATTAAAAAGTCTTACTATATTTTGCTCACAGTAGTATTTTCGGGTACATATACATATTTATTATAGATCGGCAATAATTCTGAGTGGATGTTTGGTCATGAAAAGCAGTATCGTGTTATATTATAATAAATTAAACCAAAGTGTTTTTCTTTTGATATTACATTACATTATATATATTTATAGATTTAGAAGAATAACATAAAAATAGGAAACAAATGAAGCCTTGACTTTACGAAAACGTTTTGGAAACGGTTTCTGCAATAATCGGCAAGCAACGCAAAATGGAACGGATTTACAAACATATGCTTAGAAAAAATAAGGGTTGCCAGTAAAACCAAAACCATTTTATATATGTACGTATGTATGTAAATAATGTACAATTTATTATTAGGTGAAAATTTTGACTTTTGCGATTCTAACGCACCAGCGATCTACGAACAGTAAATAAGGACAAACCTTGCAATGGTCATTTATTAGAAATTATTTGACGGCTTTCAGTTAAAATGTAAAATTGTGTTAATTTTAATTTAAAGTTTTCCACGATGCCGGCCTAGCTTGTAATATATACATTTTTTGGTAAAACAAAAAATCCAATTTCTGTCTTTCGCATTTATTTTTTGTTATTTCTAGGTTATTTGGATACATGCTTGAACCCACTTTATACATATATGTAACTGTGTACGCCAATTTTAATATTTATGTCCCATTTTGCTGAAGCTTGTTATCGGGTTTTGCACTCCCTCACAATTGAAAAAATCCAAGTCACTCCCACCCCCCTTCTACTATTTCTTATCTTCTACAAATATTCCCTGTCCTTTTCTTCTCTCTCTTTTTTGTGTATTGTATGTTGTTGTTGATTCATTTTAGACAATCGAAATGGTAACATTAATGCCGAGATTTCCGTTGTCCGCAAACAGTTGCGCAATCGATGTGTCAAATACCAGACAATCGGAGTTGTGTATAGCAGATGCAACACCTTCATGTATGGATCGCGGCATAGCCTCCCAAGTGAGGCGTCGACGGTTGCCATTTAACTCTAAACGATAGACGAAGTTCTCGGCTTCTTTCCGCGAGCCGATCAACTGCACAATTGCGAAGAATTGCTGGTGTCCATCATATTTCTCTTGCTTTTCAAGCACCAACATAAAGTGATGGCCAAAGCAAGACTGCATCATAACCCAATCGACAGCGCCAGGCAGGTTGATGTCAGTGGCGAGAAATACAATGTCTTCGCCCTGTAGCGTAGTAATGCTTTTGTGTGACATCATTAAATGTTGCATGACCAAATCTAATGGGCCTTGCCATTTACACGATGCACCCGGGCATGGACACAGGTATGGTCGACATTCGCATGTCTCTTCGTGTTCTGTTTTTTCTGTGTAAACCAGCGAAGCTGTACAACCATAGCCCGAGTGTTTGCACGGGAATTTCACATTTGAGGCGACTTTCTCCATTGCCAAATTGCGTATATTTGCCAATGGTCCGCGACATGTTGGGCAGCAGGTGAGTTTCGAGCGGCACGATACGCATACCAGGTGCCCACTAGAACATTGCAATATCGGTGGCAAGACATAATCGAAGCACACCGGACACTCAAACAATGAAGTTAGATCGGCAGACATACCACCATCACCGCCTCCGGCGGACGACAATGATGAGCTAGATGAGGAGGATGTATTTGCGGCTGAGGATGTATTGCCGGCCGATGTTGTGCCGGTACCGGTAGTGATCGGTCCTTCGCGGCGTTTCGGATTTAGCTTATTGGACATTTGTGAGTGTTGTAACAGGGTGAATGGTTGCTGCGGCTGCGGCTGCGGTTGTGTACAGGACGCACCAGAGGCGGCGATGACGGCGACAGAGGAGGCAGTTACCGGTACGGATGTGGACGCGGGAGTGGGAGCGACGACGTTGGCGACAGCGACAGCGACGGCGCTCTCCTCTTCGTTGTGCACCGCTGCTGTTGATGATGATGATGCCGTCAAAGGCTGTTGGTGCTGCTGCTGAGAAGGTAACAGCGTTAGTGTTGTATGCTGTACAGGTTGCACAGGTCGTACTAGCTGTTGCTGTTGCTGTAGTTGCAGGTGGACACGTGGCAACACTGGCAATGAGAACCGGGAACGCTGATTATAGTAATCGTAACGTTGGCGTTGTTGATGATGATGTATATTATGAAGTTGACTGAGGTACTGTTGTTCTATTAGCAGTTGTTGCTGCTGAATATGTAGTTGCTGCTGTTGTTGTTGCAAGTAGCGCAGATGATTGTTAAGGTATTGATGTGGACTCTGATTGTTGATGTAGATAAAGGAATCGTCACTATTGCAGCAGTTGTTCAGGTTCTGTGAGTCATACGGATTGTTAAGATATCTGTTGTTATTATTGTTACAATCAAATTGACGTGTGTTACGTAAAAAACATGTAAACGTTGCGTTTGGCAGTTCACTGGCTGTGCTCACGTAAAAGTATTCCAGAGTGTTGTTATTGTAAACGCTACTACTATTTCCTTGACAAGTCTCTAATATCTACGGTTGTTTCGGCTGTGTTGTTGAGCTGTATTTAAAAATAAAAATTCAGTATTTATTAGTCCCTTAAAAATCTATATGTATTAATATATGTATATTATAGCAAAAATATCTCGAATAAATATGGAAATTATAACTTAACTTGTATATGTTTCAAGTTTTAAGTTCTCTGTGAGTCTTCAAACAACCATTAGTCGAATAACTTAATAAAAAAAAACAAGAAAGGAAGGCTAAGTTCGGGTGTAACCGAACATTTCATATTATTGCAAAGAACAAAACCGGTGAAATACCTTTAAGCGTGGTCAAAGCTTATTAAAAAATTTAAAAATACAATCAAATTTGGTGTCTTATTTTCTGATATCATTACTCATAAACTCAATTAGTTTTAAAGATATATTGACCAACACAAGCGCCTTAAAGTCCGCTAGTAAGAGGGAAATCATTACATAGGGTGTATGTATTTGAGCAAGTTGAAGGTTTAGACTGACTGAGTTAATTTGTGGTATTACTCAACTATATTCGTGAACTCATTTCCATCCCACCCACAACTTCTTTAGTAGGAACGAATTCGATTAACTAATTTTCGTGTACTTTTTCCACTAAATCAAGTCGTATGTTATCAATAGCCCTTTCAATATTGATATCTAAAACTTGAAGAGAGTCTGGTTTATTATTAAAGACCAATGATTTCTTGGAGGCCATGACCATTCAATGCCACAATTTCTTGAAATAATCGAATCTCTCAGCTTTCCGGGTTATTGCAAGTGTTGTGTGGCACATAGCCCTTTTTTATTGCAACCATATGTTGCCAAGTCACTCTGGATTCTCGCGGCAACTTCAGCTCTTCGTCTACAATAGTTGGTGGTTTGACCCCAAGGACGCCATTCACGGTTAGGGAGTCGGTGAAGGTGAATGCTGGTCAGTGCATGCCTGAATTTTGTTGCGTCCGATGTCTGATCGGGTTATTATTTTATGCTTATTTTATACCAATACATATACAGTATATGCTAGCTGATATAATTCGTTAACCAATAGTATGTATAAGGTATCTACAATTCACTTAATTTTGCTAAGATATCGTAAAAATTTATCGATAAATACTCTAAAAAAAAAAAGCTGTCGGAAGTTTGAAATCCTTATATTGGATATGTGGGAGCTAGGGGTAGTATTGGCCCGATTTTATTCATTATTGACACAAGGGTCCGTACAGTATTATCTCTGATTTTCAATAATATACACACTTCGACCGACAATTCGGATAAATAAGCTAGTCATATACACTAGGTACATATCACGGTTTAGTTGTTTGAACAATTGTGGTGTGATTTTGACAATTTTTAACCTTGAGATGGAAGCTGGGGCACCCTTGGTGCAAATATTTATCTCGATGTATTCATTAGCGTATCATTTATATACTGTCAAAAATCAAAAGAGGTCATATCGTTCGAATGGACTAAAGCACTCTAGTTCTGAAAGTATTCAACGCAGTAGCCGCCGGGGGAAGCAAGGGAAGAGAAAGACCTCCATTCAGTTGGAAAGACCAGGTTGAGAAGGACCTGGCTTCGCTTGGAATCTCCAATTTGCGCCAAGCAGCGAAAAAAGAGAATGACTGACCCGCTGTTGTAAACTCGGCAATAACCGCGTTAGCGGCATCTACGCCAATCAAGAGGAAGAAAGAATCATAGGGAATGAAAATTGTCTTTCATAGCATGCACGCGTGATTTTAGCTCTATTTCGCCACTTTAATGTCCCATTTATTTATTGAGTTATCGCACTTTAGTAATTTTAAATATAATCGTTACTTGAAGAGGGTTATAATCCGATTTCACTCATTTTCACACTGTCAGAAGATGTGCCTAAAATGGTGCAGCATGTAATTAGAAAGTTGAATGAGGCAATGAAAAGGTCCTCATTAGATTGAAGCCACAAAGTTCTGGTTATAGAAGTCCGACTGTATTGTGTTCTAACCTTTGTAAAAAATTTTAATATATCTTTTATGCTTTTTCTAATTATTTACTGTTTAATATTAACAATTTGTTTATATGTCCGTTTTAAATATGCATATGTATATATTATCTGGTATGTTAATTGGTATGTTAATTATGTTATCTAGAATGTTAATTATAACATCGATTAGAATTATTTCTTTGTTGCTATATCCGGTATAAACTAGTGATGCCACAAATATTGGACATTCTCACTTTCGAGTGCTCTCATATAAGATGCTTGGATTGCCAAATATGGCATTATTATTTTACTCGATAGAAGTGGAAGTGATAATAAACATCAGGCAACATCATTAGGCAACATCAGAGAAGCTTAAGTTGCCAAGAAGAAATAATTCTGACACGACAGTCGGGTATATGTAACCAGAACAAACAGGGATTCTTTATTCAGTCAAGGACTGTCAACCCGCAGAATTTTGTCGCTATAACAAAAACAATTCTGAAAATTAACATATGATTCAGCAGATGATTGGATTGCTAAATACTTTTATATTAAAAGTCATATCTGAATCCTGAATCGTGAAGCTGATAACGCAACTCTCATTCATCATCTCATTTCATCTCTTAAATTTATTATACGCTGGACAGGGTATATGTACTTGTATCAATTTTGCCACTAAGTTTCTAAAACCCGGAGTAAAGCTCTAGTCCCTCAGTTTTTGAGTTGTCGATCTGAAATTTTGCGCAATCTTGAAGCCTTTGTCGGAACCGCCGATATCTATATTGAAAGCTTTTTTTTTTTTATTTAACAAAGTATCTTTACGACATACATACATATACATATTAATGTAAATCTTCAATTTCTACATAGAAAGATCGTTTATCACTTTTTCGCTTGGTTTTATAATGTTTGTATCTAAAAGTAATTTTATATGAAAAATTTACCCTTTCCGCACACAAATTTTATACTTAAGCTTGCAAACCGGAGAAGTTGTGAACAAATGTATGTACATACGCACATACAGATAGATGATGTATGTAGGTATGGAGCTGTGTGCATGTGAACTCGACCTTTTTCACTCTGTCATTAAAAGGTCTCCAGTTTATACCAAGATACCTGCAAACACGTACGTACATACGCACATATTTATATATATACATATTTTTATACATATATATATATGTATATGTCATGAAGCAATATATCACCTGGTTTTAGATACATATTTGTATGCCAAGAACCACCGAAACTGTTTGAAATAGTTATTGAACTGAAATGTGTTAGCTTAGTAAGAATTTCAAACTCTCCAAATACCTAAAAGAGTGTTAGTTTTCAAAGATTTTCATTAGTCTGGTCGCTGTATTCGAATTTCAAGGCAAAGCTGTATCTTGCCATTAAAGCTGCACAAGCTAATGAAAAATGTTTATTTACACTGTGAACATAGAACAGACACAGAAACGATGATAATACCAAGAGCTGTTTTAAAGGGCTTTTTAGATTACCTACTGTTGAATTCTTTACATTCATGGTTCTCAACAATTTGCAATGTCGGCAAAACTTCAAAACAGTAATATTATATGTATATCTTTAATAACCACCTTTTTTTGGAGGATCACGCGTATGTGTTATATGTACAAATGTATCTATGTATGTATGTATTAAAAAATAGTTGCTCCAATTAAACGTTTATGATAAGCATTTCGTTTGTTCTCTGTGTACATATATTTGTTTCCAAGAAAATAAGGAGTGACCCCATTACCGAAACCTGATAATATTCAATAAGAAGAGTTTTTTGCCTGAAAAGTTTTACAAAACATATTCACTAATGAAGTATTAATATTTCCATAGTCCATTTAATTCAACATTTCATATATCAGTTTATGTTAAATAAACTTAAACCTACCTCCACAAAAAATAAAAGTATTTACTTTTTAATTAAAATTTTAATTCTAAACCTTTACAGAACAATAAATTAAATAATATTTCATTGAAGTGGGTTTCGGGTTTTTTTTTTTTGAAGAAACCGTCACACTTCCTAGAAATAGAGCCTACCAGATCCTGGCAACGTTCAAAGAGTAATTTTTCTAAAACCTACCACAAATATCTTAAAATAGTTGATTTTCGGTCGAATTAATGTTTAGAGTTGAGAAAAGGAAACCGCACCGACGCAACATCAACTCGGTTAACTCTATAACCGCTTCTTTCCGCACTTGATAATATGTTTATGACCATTATTTTGTTGGTATACATACATAAATATAGTATTCCCTCAGGCATATGGTAACATTTCCTTATCTACATAATATTTTGATATACATATGCCACTTTGTTCATGACGCTTTCAATCAAGAAAAATGGCTCAACTCCTACATGAGTAGGAAACGCGTATCAATTGCTGCGTTTCAAGAAATCAAGTTAAACAGCCGCTCAAATCTTCTGAGTTGTGCAGGCTTTAACGTCTGACGTAAGGATTGCGCTACTTGGTGGTGAAAACGTTTTGTTATCAGCCGACTTTAACGCGCATCACAATCTTTGGCATTCCTATGTAAAAATCGTAGGGGAGAAGGAGCTGCCAGACAGATAAACGATGCGACATTCTGCAAAATGTATTACGAAGCTGGAAGAATCGCGGAGCTCCGCACCAATTTCCCAGCCAAAGTAGCTACTTTAGCTAATGAGCGCGATACCTTACGCTATACTGATCCCTGTGATCCTCGAATAAGGGTCTTTATTTGGAGATTCGGCAATAGTAAATCAACAAGAGCTGACAAAATGGATAGAGCAGCTGAAGTCCTGCAACCTCTCCACCGGTGTGAGTAAGCTTTGGGCTCCTGTCAAAGCTTTGTCTAACCCGAAGAGATATGATGACCGAGTTTAAATTCAATTCAATTCGGACCCGAAGAAGTGGTCGATCTATTTTACCAGGCAATACACACTGCATCTTTCGGTAGACAAAGCAAAACGATTTAATCCAATTCCATTGGGCAATGGAATAAACATGCTGAAGGTAAAGCACCTAGGCTCAACGGGAGTAAGCTCGTTTAAGCAGTTCTTCCTGGGGTGTTTTGTTAGAAAATATTTTAAGAAATGTTTGTCGTTATTTACCCATAATTTGTTCAACGACTGACAAGGAAAAACCAACTAACACTATAATAAATCCACTAACAAATCCATACGTATTAATAAAATATCTCATACTATAAATGTATTTCATGCGTCTTACAAACGTTTTCCCCAACATTTCCCCCAAATTTATTTGGCTTTCGCCAGACCAGACCATACATATAACATTTTTCAACTAATATGCGCCCAAGAGTAAAAAAAAAAAAAACAATTGAAATTTTAATATTATGTCACCTTTGTAAGTATTTTAGAATTCTGTTTTAGAAAGTTTTGACAACGTCCAATTTTTTCAACGATATTCCCTCGTTTTGCAATATTTCATTGATTTCATACATATTGTACTTGTATTTTGAAAATGAAAATGCAATTATAATTAACACAATGTTCCTATTTTTTTGTCCCCGCCATTGATGCCCCCTAATAATTTTCCCAAGCCACTTTAAGGTTCCCGTCATAAAACGCCAGACCTTCAAAAACTGCCCCTATTGTTTTGAGTTAACTATGTATATGTATGTTCCTCGGAGTTAGTATGCATAAAAAAGTGTAATTGCAATTTGTTCAAACAAATTCATGTTCTGTTAATAAAATTCTTTGTTCGTTCGAGATACACAAATCTTTTAGTTATATCCGTAATTTATACGATTTTTTTTTGTTTGTACCACAAAAGCTAACACACATACATATAAGAGATAATAATATAACATAATAATATTCAAATGAACTATATACTATATACTTATAATACAATATATAGTGTTAGCAATGGTAATGCATGCAATCCATACGTATCACAGAAATCAATATGGGAGCGTATGGAGTTTTTTGACAATTACTTTTTAAATGCATATACAAGTACAGACTTTCGGCATTTGTTCACTAGAGAATATTCAATATAATGGTAATGTAAAATATTTATAATGTAAGTATAAATTAACTTACACACTACCAATTCAACATTCTTTTGGTTGACCAAACAATAATTCACATTTGTCGTAATTATTAATGAAATTTTGTAAGGCTTCTTCTTCTCACAATTTGTATAAAATTCTTAATATTTCATTTCTCCAGACGGTAGTGTTTTTATATTTACGTGAGCGACGGAAGTAGGTACCAGTCTCCAATATAAACAATATACACTCTTCAAAAACTAAGCGTGTTTAAAAATACAGATTGATGTACATGCACACAAGAGAATAAGCACTTGTAAATACACTTTGCAATAATTTTTGCTTTACATAATTTGATTGCTCGTTTTCCCAAAAACTTTACAACAAAGTAATGCTAATTTTTCTTCGTATCTATATGCTTTATTACAATAAATATATCACTTTTGCTTACGATCTCAAGCTATGTATATTGTAAAGTAAATTCACATTGTCACACGCACAAGGACGTTATATCGTATCCCTTATAGTTTCCACTTGTAATATATTTATTTTTTCACAGTTAAATTTTTAATTTTTTTATTCACATTTACTCAAACGAATGTCATCTGTTTGGCATACAGAACTGCGCTGCCCTCGTCACTATATACCTCCTCCTCTGCAATCTTTAGCTCATACATTACAAATAAAAACAATTAACTTTATAGCGTTGCCACCTAAACTCTTACAAAAAAAAACATGCATGCAAAACTCAACTTATACTGAACTAGCTACTGCTACATTCTCGCTCCCACATTACGAAAAGCGCTATACACTTCACTACTTTCTAATCACTCGCACTACCAACAAACCCGACGTGTTTATTATGTTTGCATAAGGTGGCAGCGTTACATGTTATAATAAAAACACAACCTCAGTCGACTCCTGCGCCGACATCAGTTACTTCGCTGCCGAAGGCAAAGAAATGCTACGTTTTTTTAGGTCTATTGCTGCAACTGCTGATATGAATTTACTGGGGTTGTGTAGACCGACTCATTTGTCTACCCCTATATGTGATTGTATACCCTCTTGACAATGTAACGATCCGTTTGCAATAAAAGGATAGAAAGTCAAAGCGTGCGTGCAAACAACAAACTCAAAGTATTTCAGTTCACTCAAAAACCCAAATGGAGGCGGTGCAACCAGAGAACATAAAAGACATTTATGTTCTCTGGTGGCAGTAGCAATCTTATAGATCAAAAAGAGCGAGAATATAAATATTCCATCTCTTTTAGACATGAAACACACAAAAGTGCTCACTAGCCTCCGCTACTGCATGCGCGTTAACTCCACTTTTAGCTCTTATTTCTTTTTAATATGGCTTTTGTTGCTTCCTTTTCTGAAAAGAATTAATATCACCCGATTGTTTTCACTACCTTTTAGAACGATTCATTATGAATTCACATGACTTTCCACAAAATTGTACTTTCCATATGTTAAAATTAGCATTATTGAATAAAAATTATGTCTTGTTTAGTTTTTATTGTGTTGCTACTAATATAAAAATTATTGCTATACGACGAACAACACTTCCACCAAGTACGTACTACACTAATATACACTTGATTAAAAACTGTTTTCATATACGGTGGTTAAAGAAAGATAACTAATGTATTCTTGCAGATACGTATTCACTTTAACATAGATAAATTGATGTTGCCACATTAATTTTATCATATTATCTATTTTCGTCTGTTGCCGCGAACTCCACAAAAATTATTTCGACTTGTTTGAACCAAAGATATATTTTATACAAAAAAATTATATATTTACTGCATGAATAAACATTAACTTAAGGAGAATGATATTTAGAACCCTTTGTTTTATTTGAGATGTTATCTTATACATATATTAATTTAGAATTCGTCATATTATTAAAATGACAATAAATAAATTTGTTGATGAACATAGAATACATGACAATAAAATAGAATGAAAAAATTGTTATACAATAATGTCAGATCAATTGAGTGGGTTGAATATTTTAAGTTTTCTAAATAATTGATTATTGTACAGAAGTTGGATCGCAGGTAGATTATTCATGGATTCATGGATTGCACTAACATGAAAAAATAACTAATTAAAAAAACAACAACAGTTGTACTAAAATGAGATCTCATTGTATTAATCCTTGTACCATGATATTGAAATCCACTGGCCACAATGTTAGATAATTTCTAGGGGTAAAGAATATAAATATGAAATAATAGTTTGCGTTGGTTATCCCTAGGCATGCAATAACGAACATGGATATCGTAAGTCTTTAGTTACCGGGTAAAATCAGTCTTGAAACTTCGATGAAGAACATTACTTTAAATTTCTGTTCAAAACGTTGATTTAAATAAACTTAGGGTGGTGGTTAAAGATCATGTAGTACTAAACGCCCATGTTTGAATAATAGAACAACCTGGGTAATCGCTTTCGCGATGGTGACCTTTTGACAGTTGTTGTTGTAACGGCAGAATCCTGCCGAGTTGACAGTCCTTGGCCGGATAAAAATCCGGGTCCGTTCCGGTTTTCGTAGACCCGACTGTCGTGGAAACGGACCTTTTGACAGTCGTTATACATGGTATATGAGGTAGAATTTGTATATATGTAGCTTTTATTTATTATAAGATAAACCCTCCATTCGTCACAATATTTATAGAGAAAAAAAAACACTCTGATGAAAATTTAATCCTCAGTCCAAAATAATTGAATCGGTATACTTAGAATATTTAGACCTACATAAATATGTAATACTAATTTATAGTACAATTTTTGAGGGTATAAAAGCCCCGTGTTCCAAAAACTATTTTCATTCGCGAAATCTAAAATAATATTTTATATGTATCTTTCTTTCTAGAGGGCTATTTAACATCTTGCACTTTTGACTACCTAACAGACAATTTCGATACGCGGCTTTTCGTTGGCACCATATTCTTCTGCAGTTTTGTGTGCCCGACATCGATGATCGTCTATTACTACAGTCAAATAGTTGGTCATGTCTTTAGTCATGAAAAAGCTCTACGCGAACAAGCGAAGAAAATGAATGTTGAGTCTTTGCGATCAAATGTCGACAAGAGTAAGGAAACGGCGGAAATACGTATCGCAAAAGCGGCTATTACCATTTGTTTCCTCTTCTTCGTGTCGTGGACGCCGTATGGAGTAATGTCATTGATTGGAGCATTTGGTGATAAGAGTCTACTGACACCGGGCGTAACCATGATACCAGCCTGTACTTGCAAAATGGTAGCTTGCGTCGATCCATTTGTGTACGCTATTAGTCATCCTAGATACAGAGCGGAATTACAAAAGCGTTGTCCATGGTTGGCCATTAAAGAAAAGTCGACTGAGGCTTCAACGGCGGGTTCGACAACCACTGAACAACAGCAGACGTCAGCAGCGTAAAGTTAGCTTATATGTAGGTTGCACTGATCGCTGACGGTAATACTGTTGCATATATTAGCTTGTAAGATGCATTAGTAACATTAGGATTTAAATTGATATGAGTTTTTATCTGTATATTGTACATGTGTATGTACCTAAAAATTACTTAGATTAGATAATTATTGCGACAATTTTCGCACACACATATTGATGACTAGGCTCTGGACAAGGACTTGCACTATCACCTATATCCAAACTGAACACACAAGGCTAAGCGAACGGATACATGACTTGGTAAAACACATATGTACATACATAAGTAACTGTGCAACAATGCGTGGGTGCCAAAGAAGCTGCATTGTGCCTGAAAATCACCAAAAAAAAAAAATTAATAAATAAATGGATCGTCACAGTTAGGTTTGATGTAACCAACTGTTATTAAATTATTATTTATTTGTAGCTCTATTATTTGCCTATGTAATAGAAATGGGGAAAATAAATAGAATTTTATTGCAACTGAACAATTTTTTTTGTGTTATGGTAATGACGCCGGGAAGAAAAAAAGCGATTTTTTAGATTATTTATGTTCAGTTTTATTTAATTTTTTTTTTCGGTTTGTTTTATGTCTGTAAAGTTGTTCTTCCTTTGAAAGAAGGAGTGTCACTGAAGCTTAAACCTTCCAAGCTTTGGTACAAATATTGTTTTGTACAACTAAAAAATTAGTTTAATATATTTGCTCGGAGATTTTACAGCAAAGCCATCAATCATCCATTCCGTCATATTAGTTTATCATTGTCCATTTCTTAAATTTAATTTCCCACCATGGCGCCGTGTAGTTTAATCACAGCGCGATAATCATTATATGAAAGCGACCCTTCCAACGACTTTGCCTGTATGCGCTGCAACTTTTGCAACAACTCCGTATTTGATTCAGCCATGCGAATGCATTCACTTAAGTAACGCGATGATTCGCGAGACCAAAATACCGAAGGACCCTCTGAAGGAACTTTCCCATACCCACCAGCTGAAGCGTTACAATTGCCATGAAGTAAATCATTAAATGCAGGCGGCCGATTCTGTATAGCTTCTTTAATATTTGTTATAACTGTAGATTTTTGTTGGGGGTTTACGAATGGTGGCGGTGCAAAATTTTGCCCCTTAACTGGTGTATTCATATTCATATTCGATTTCGCTTTTGTATTGCCCGCTTCTGCCGTAGTCTCAACTATGGTAGTGTTTTGTGGTCTATTTTTGGCCTTCGCTACTACCACAGATGCATTGGTTATTGTAGCTTGTGCCATTGATGGTTGCGTTAAATCCTTTTGTTTCGTAGGGAATCTTGATTTTGCGGTGTATGGTGTATTAGATACGGTGTTTTCAGTAGATTTCCTGCGAGTTAATGTTTGATTGCCCGGTTGTGCTGAGGACCCTGACGCTGGTGAATGTTCCAGACGTGATTTTTGCTCAGGTGTTAGGCTAACATCTAGCATCTTATGACCCAATAGCCGCGGATCTATATTTACATTAATTTTTTGATTTTTCGGCATCTTGTTGTAGGTTTGTATGAGTTCCGGATAATTATCATGCCGATACGAAGTAAAGAGCACTTTGCAGTGTGAATCGATTTCTTCACGTAACGTTTGTGGTACCATATTTTCAGCTTGATAATCATTGATCAGCGATTTCAAATTAATTAAGAGTTTGTCTAAATGCTTGCCGCCGTCACCGAGGCCAGCTTGGCCCAATAAAATCATATTGAGCAAGCGACGACATTTTTCTGCCAATTTCATATTTGCTTTTGTATGCGTCTTCTCTAGATTCTTAATGCGTTTTTGTAAGTCATTCACATCACCTAAGTCGCTTTGCAACTGCGAGATATTTTCACGTAGGAAACGTATTAAGGCGTCTATGCGTTTGGGCACTCTGATACCACTAAATTGTTTATTATTCATTTGGTCCATAAATTTCTGACATTGCTCGAGTAGGGCTTTGTGAAATGTGTCCTGATCAAAGGCAAGTCCAAATATGACCAAAACATGACCGACCGATGTCCAATCCAGCCTTGCTTTGATATTACACTCTTTTGATTTTTGTACCAAGAAATCGTGACCGGTTGGCGATAACAAATAATTGCTATGAAAAGGTGTGAGGTAAACTTTAGCTTCACAGGGTGAATCATTCTCATTTTTGTTTTCATCTATATTCTCATCGTCAGTATCCGCAGCAATAAAACGGTGTGAAATGCCTGTACTTGTGTCAAAAGTATCGCCTATTTCAACCATGTTCACATCACTGTTATCTCCTATTGGTATAAAGTCTGGCAATGGTTCCATTTCACGAACGTGTCTTTGTTTGCCTTCAGCGGCAGCGGACGTCGATGCTTGAGCGTTTATTTCTTCCTCTTCTATAAGTGCTGCATTCTTTGTACTAACAGCCGGTGCTGGTATCTCGAAATGATCCGAGAAACTATAATTTGAGTCTGAATCCACAGTTAAGTTGTCTTTGCTTTGGGACCTATGCGAAGCAGTAATAGTACCTGGTATTTCACTTGGTGTCTTAAACTCATTTACAACGTTTAATAAGTTTTCACCAGCACAAAAGTTCTCAGCGCCTGCTATCGAAACTACTTCTGTCGTGGTCACACTACCGCTAACTTCTGGCACCTGCAGTAAAGAAAAGAAAATTATAAAAAAAAAAAAAAAATTTGAATTACACCACACGTTGTATCTAACCTGATTGGGAGCCTCTGCAGTTGGTACATTCTGCCTGAGGGATTTAGCTGTAGATGTGACGCCTTCTCTTGCTACTTTACCGTACGGATTCGGTTTGTAATGACCAGAGAGATTCTTAGCTTTCTTAGGCAGATTTCCCGTTACTGACGAACAATTACTCGGTCGTTTTCGTTTTAACATACCGCCCAAACCAACTGCTTTCAAGAAGCGTTCATAATAACCGTTTCGTGTACCATTTGCAGCCATACGAAAAACAACTGCATCTCCAGGTCTATACAGAAGATTGAGTGCAATTCCAGAGCATGGAGTTTTAAACAGCATGTCACTATATGATTTTTGATGTGATTTTACGTGGCTGACAATAATTGGATATTCCATAAAACGAACTGCACTGCGACATGTGTCGGAGAAATGTCCCCTACCTCCGCAGACGCAACACATTCTGCGCTTATTGAACTCAACTTGACTGTTCGGCTGATCATTGGGTTGGGTCTAACGAAAAATTATACTTGTTATACATAAAATTTCAATGCGATCAAGTTTACCGTGGAATGGTAACGACGCCATTTGTCAGGGCAGAGATTAATCGAATGACCACGAACTTTGCAAATGGGACAAATAAGCCGATTTTGGAATGTGCAAGCATTGCAGCTTTTGGTAAACACTTGAGTTTTATTTCCACACTATAAGCAAAAAATGTATATACTAATACATGAGCAGGAATATCTAATTTAAGTATAAAGACTTACCCTTAAACAAAGCGTATTTGGACAACGTGGCTCTAAATGACCGCTGTCGCCACACATGTAACATACTTGTGGTTTTTTCGGGCGCTTACATTTGGCACGAGTATGCCCAAACTCACAACAGTTGAAACATTTTAAGTTACTATACGGACGTGCCTTAGGGAAACGATCTTCAGAGTAAATTTTCCATAATCTTCGGTCCCCTATAAATTAGCCAAACAGATGCAAAAAAGTTTAATTACAAGCATTTGATATTTGTTAAGTTCTACTTACTTTCCATTCCGTTTAGTGCTTCAACCAGTGTGAATTTTTCGCCTTGCCAAGAAAGATTGTAAAATTTCATCATTTCTTCATTCCAGCCAACGCCACCCGGTTGCGAGTTATGCTCATTATAGACAATATGGTGAGTGGGTAAGATGTTCTGGTCGTCTGTTCGGCCTTTTGATACCGGCACTATGGGTGTAATAATTTCCAAGTCATTTTCCGAAGTATCTTCCGAGTCCATGTAATCCGTTTTCTTTGCACATAGATTATCTATCGAGGCAAAAATCTTATCTAATCCAGCTATTGCTTCGTCAGGCACTGCCTCGATATTACTTTGCAATGGTGGAGGACTGTTGACTAATTGAATGGATTGCATACTCGTTTGGTCAGGCTCAATTATTGCTGGTATTGCTTCTTTGTTTCGATTTTGCTCTTCTCCCTGCTTAAATTCAGTTATTACTTCCTTTGCTTCGATATTACCTTGCAGTGTGGGAGTAATGTCAACTAATTGCTCACTTGTTGGCAACGTTTTATCTTTTTCAGTTTGCTCTATATTCTCCACGCCTTCAATCTGCGCCTCACTTGCACTTTCATCTTCATTATTTATTGTTTCACCAATTTTATTATTCGCTTTGTTTTCACTTCCTTGTACCAAACTATTCAATGTTGCTATGAATTCGTTGTCAGACATATTACCACCCGTGTTGCCGAGAGCACCGACTGAAGCCCGACGAGTATTTCCCAAAAGTTTGCGTACCCTCTTACTGCAGCGCTCTACAGCGGAACCTCGCAAAATGAATGGTATAGGCGTCTTAGTCACACCGTCATCTAATTCATCATCCGTACTTTCGTCATTGTTATGTGCATCAGAGCCTCGGTTACTGCTGGAAGTTCGTCGCTTACAAAAGCGCTTCGCTTTTTGACTAACTACTGTTTTTTGCACATCATCCGCCTCTGAGCTGCTATAAATTGCTTTCACAATTGTTCTAGAATGTCCTTTAGAATAAACACTATCTGTTATATCAGATTCGCTTTCATAAACATCCAATGCCCTAAAATCTGTTTGTTCCACACGATAATTTTCCTCTTTCTTGGAGTTGGAAGATTCAATTTGTGCATTACCAATAGAGTTGGTTAGAGGTGCAGTAAATTCGCCGGTGCACATAACATCCTCCGAAGAATCATCATTGCGAACAGTGTCTCTACCTTCGGTCGAAGTGTTCCGATTCGGTTTGGGAGGTACTAGATTGCTTACATCAGCTGTCAGCAAAGCCAAATCTTGGTCATCCGCCATGCAATTGTCTTCTAGCAATCGAGAACGGTCGGTTTGACCAATAAAGTCATCTGAGGATAACACAGAACATGGTGAAGTGCATCGACTAATGATTGGATCAGCAGTTTTTTCGGGTATGTCTGACGTCAAATTGTTACATTTATCATTTGGCTTAGTAAAATCGGGTTGTTTAGTTTTACTATCCATGACAACGTCAGAAGCATCCAAAGCATTTTCTTCTTCTAGTTGAATCCCAGTGCCTTCATTATCGCTGTCAGAAAGGGTGATAAGTGGTGGAGGCTTTGATGGTATTAAAACTACATCATCGTCTGAGCTATCCGATCCACTATTTTCGCCAGAAGATGAATCTAATACAATTGTTTCCACTCGCTGTTGTTCTTTTTTCTTTTTATTGCGAATATTTTTTGATTTCTGCTTTTTAGCTTGAACCAAAATTACCTTTTGCAATTTATTTTCTTGTTGCGTAAATGGACCACTTCGTGGCACAGCAGTTGCAACTTTTTTTTGTTTTTTATTTTTTTGATTTGGCTTCGAGCTGAGAGCAACCGCTGCCGGATTAATTCGTATGTTACTATCTCGAGTGTAATTTCTTTCAGGTATTTTAATTTTCACTTGATTTTCATTGCTTTTATCTGTAGTGTTTATTTTTTGTTCAGGGGAAAGGAGTTTATTACTGTCAGGCTGCTTCTCACTTAAATTGGTAGATTTTTCTGTAATATTGTGAAAGTTAATATTTTTTTTTAATATATACATATATATGTATTATTTCTTTGATGTACCTTTCTCAACTTTTTTTGGTTGATTTACACTTTTTGTAAATTTGTTGTTCACCCAGTAGCGTGTATCGGGCACTTGACTGGATTTAGCAGGTCGGTAAATAATACTTCTTTCTGTAACAACGCGCTCCACGCTTTGTTTTTCTTGTGCTTGCGGGTCCTGCTGGCATTCAGTTGTATTATTTACGTCTGCCTTTGTTGAATCAACGGCCTCATGGTGTATTTGACCGTATAGCCTAGCCTCAAGCTCATTAAAATCTTCACCATCTATTTCAACCTAATCAATACAATTTCATTCGTATAGTTGCACGTGCATTTTATATTAATGTAAAGCGTGTCCTTACCTCGTCCATTTTTTAATAAAGTAAATTCCTAACATTTAAATATGTTAGTTCCGAGCTCTGATATTTATAATCTTCTTCCTGCAACTAATTTCTCCTATATTCCATGGACCGCTATGTTTTTTTGCTATTCTTTACATTCACTCGTGTAGTGGCAAGTGCTTTCGGCCACCCTCAGGGTTGTATCTATGAGTTGCTGCAGAGTTGCCACTGTAACTTTATTATTATTACCGTACAAGGAATACCCATTCTATCGAAAATGCAACATATGAAAATGATCGAGAAAGGAGGTGTAACCTGCAGGGTATGGTGTAGGGCTACCCTTATACAGATTTTTTTTCTTTTATATAAATTAACCCATCATTTTGCCAATACATCAACAATTATTTAGCTTTTAGTTTTTATTTACATATATTATATTTTTGTTATCATCGCCACAAAGTAATCATTGTAAAACAATGTCATCGCTACCAATAGACGACCGGTTGACGCTATTTTGCCATTATCATTCCTAAATAAAGTCGATATATGACGGTCATCATTATAAACATTTACAAGCCGGGCCACGTATTTGTCAAATCTCTATAGGAATATAAATTCCACCCTTTTGATAATAGAAATATATAAACAGGTAAGATATAAGATATTTTTTTTTTTAAATAAAAATGTAAGTTGTTAAATAATTGTAGAGACAACATGGAAAGTATGCAACGGTATGTTTCACCTGTAAATCCAGCTGTATTTCCACACCTAGCTACGGTATTGCTGACAATTGGTACTTTTTTCACCGCCTGGTTCTTCGTATTTGTGGTATCGCGACCAAAGAATTCTAAGGAGCGTACTCTGTTTAAAGAGCTTTCAATTAGTCTCTGCGCTTCAATATTTCTAGGTTTTGGAGTAGTTTTCCTAATGCTTTCAGTGGGTATATACATATAAATTGTTTTGCGATTGCTAAAGTGTATTTATAAGACTACCGCAGTTTTTTTTAATAAAAACAAAAATATTGCTCTTTGTGTAATCAAAATTTTTATATGAATTATACTTGCTATATTACAAAGTATTAGAAAGATGTGCTAAAGAAAATTTTGATTATAAATTATTGCATGTGGGAGAAATGATTTCCAATTATCAAAGTCTGTACTAAAGGATATACATATACGTATGTATATCACTTGCCACATTAAATTGTAGATGTTTTTTGATTATTTGCAATTAATGAATTTATCGATTTCTTTTATTTGAATACATAATAATGAAATAAATATATTTATTTTATTTTGTTGAGTAATTCCAACGTTAGTGGAACAAAATTAAATTTCCATTATATGATTTTATTTCACTATGGCATTGTGTTATTTATCCCGCCAATCCAGCTTTTTGTCTACATTTCTGCATAATAGCTCGAAGCATAAATTGCTTACGAGATAATTGACGTACATGCTTTAAGAATGTTTCCAAGTCAATAACTCCACTTCGTAAAGCTTCACCCAAATAGTAAATTGCATCCTCAAGAGCCGCTTCTTCTGCATACGCATTAAGTAATCTGAAATAAATATTTTATAGATAAACATGATATTGATAGGTATTGATATAAAAACATACTGTCTATATAGCGGCGCTGTTGTTGTAACGGCTTCATCTGGGTCTATACCTTCAGACTTCTCCAATGCGTCTAAACTTTTTTCAAGTTCTTGTTCCTTGTCTCGCAAAATGTCTACATTTTTTTTAAGTTCCACCTCAAATAACAAGTTTTTTTAATAAGCACAGCTAAATAAGTTTCTTACTTACTTCTTCTCTAATAAGACGTGCAATAACATTGTCAATTTTTGAACTGCCCTCTACCAATTCCTGCTTGGTACGATTGAGTGTTTCAATTTCAGCTTGATATTGATTAACTTTCTCTTGTAGACGACGTCGTAGTTTGTCTTCCACTGCGCTAATAAGAGATACCTTAATATGTTCCTCTGTTATGGTACCCGTGGAACTTGGTGTTGAAGAATTCTATATAAAAAACGGATGTTAGAAGAGTAGCACATATGTATGATAGTTTTAAAAAATATTACAAATCCAGAATTATAACCAGGAACTTGTGGATAATTCATATACGGTGGATAACCTCCTGCACTTGTACTAGGATTAGCCACAGAGGAATTGCCTCCGGTGGGATACGGTGGAAATGGTCCAAAATTATTTGCTGTCGGATAAGGTGGGAATGCACCTCCGGCAGCTGTAGGGTAAGGTGGATATCCGACACCACCAGGCATAGGTAAACCTATAGTTTAAAATATAGATTTGAATGTTTTATATCATTTAACAATGCATACCTGTATACGGATTTTGTGGCTGTTTTTTAGGTTTGGAAAAAACTGGTGGGTGATCACCAAACGTCAGAATCATTACTTGTATCAGAGAGAGTAAATCCGATGTACGCTACATTTAAAAGAAGTGTTATTGTGTTATTTAGGACATAATTTTTTTATATAAACTTTTGTTAAATTATTGGAAACATTATTTTATTTTTTACACACAACACAATGGTATTTTATTCACGCACTCACCGGTTGCCAATCGTGCAGATATGGCAAATAAATCTTTCCATTATGGTCCACATACATTGATACCTTAATTAGCATTGTTGGGGTTGGTTTTACAAAGCACATTGGTGCATTTTGAGGATGTGTATCCATTAACCATATGCATATTGGAATGTAGTAAGTGTTATCTGTTGGTAAATATTATTTTTGTTTAGTTTTGATTGTTTAAAATTAAAAATAAAAAAATACTTTTATAAACAACCGGTATAGTTCCAGCCAAATTGAAAAGCTCCTTAGTACTTCCATCGTTGAAAACTAAAAAATAAAACGTACATATATGTGATATGATGAAATCTAGCAATACTGCGAGACAGCACCCTTTACAATTCCAACTTACCGAATTTTTGCAAATTATATGTCAGGGAGCGATACGTGGTAATTACGTCAATAACATCTTTTTTGGTCGCACTAACGTTTTTATACTACGATATAAATAATATATTTAATATTAATTATGCATTGGAAAAAAACTGAATTAAGGCACAAACCCTGGATAACAACTTTGAAATCTGCGCCTCCTCTGCAGCGGGCATCATGTTTTACTTGAATTAATTCTTTAAACTCTCTTAATGGTTTAATTTAAGTTTGAATGACTAATTTTAATTAAAATAAACACTTGATATAATCTTTTCTTAAAAATAATCTTTTGTTCGATTTTTGACGTTTATGACTGCATTCACATATGATACATTCCTTACGTTAATGTATTTTTCAAGTTGCCACACGATTGTAGTTAAAATAAGATTGAGTGGCGATAGTAGCCACATTATCGGAGGAGTAGGTGATGCATAATCTACGTTTTTTTTTTTTCAAAATAAGATTAAAAAAAAGAATTTCCCTGATTGTTCAGTTTGTATGGCAGATAAGTATATGCCCAATCGATCCGATAAAAAAAAAAAAATTTGTCCGGAGATTGCTTTGCTTTGGAAAATATTTCTTGAAAAATCAGTTGCTCAGTTTGTATGGCAGCTATTGTGCCCAAAAAATAAGGTGACATTTGAATTTAAACTGCGCGCGTCGAAGGATTTGGAGAATAATTTTTTTTTAGGTTGGTAGTACTGTCAGTAAAATTTCACGTCAAAATATTGTTGTTTGAGATATGTGTCGTTTTGTGAACTGCTAAAAGTGAGTTTTTCGTCTTTTTGCGATGTCGAAATTTGTTGAGCAAAGAATTTGCATTAAATTTTGTTTACGGAATCAATTTTCTGCTGGGATACGTTGAGGAGGGTGCAGAAAGCCTTTGGCGATGAGTCTATGTCTAAAAAAAATGTTTATAAGTGGTATAGTGAGTTCCAAGCCGGCCGTCAACGTGTCAAAGACGAAGAACGTCCAGGACGACCATCAACCTCAACCGACGAAGCTCACGTTCAACAAATCAAAGATTTGTTGTTGAAAAACCGTCGATTAACAATTAGAGACCTTGCTGATGAAGTTGGCATATCGAAAGGCTCAGCCAATACCATTTTGAAAGATGTTTTGGGCCTCAAGCGCGTCAAATCTCGACTGGTACCGAAAACATTGAATTTTTTGGAAAAAAGGCATCGCGTTGAAGTGTGTGAAACGATGCTTTCCGACTACCAGKGTGTCATGAAACGCATTATAACTGGCGATGAGACATGGATCTATGCTTACGACCCCGAAACAAGCGATCAATCGAGCGAATATGGTGCCAAAAGAGAGCCGAGAATAAAAAAATCGCGCCAAAGTCGCTCAAAAATCAAAGTCATGTTGACTGTTTTCTTCGATTATCGTGGTGTAGTGCATTATGAATTCGTTCCAATCGGTCAAACGGTCAACAAGGAATATTATTTAAACGTTATGCGTCGTTTGCGTAACGCTATCCACCTAAAAAGGCCGGAATTGTGGAAAGACAATTCTTGGTTTTTACACCACGATAATGCACCATCCCATACTGYCCTCGTAATTCGTGATCWTTTCGCCAAAAGCTCAACCCATATCGTTCCGCAACCACCGTATTCACCTGATCTGGCGCCGTGCGACTTTTGGCTGTTCAGCAAGCTCAAAAGACCGCTCTGGGGACACCGTTTTTATACGATAGAGGAGATTCAAGCCGCAGCGAAGACGGAACTGAAGGCCATCCCGGAAAGTGATTACAACCAGTGTTTCCAAGATTGGAAAATCCGTTGGCAGAAGTGCATTGCATCGGAAGGGGATTACTTTGAAGGGGATGAAATTGATTTGGAGGAATAAATAAAGAATTTTCAAAATAAATACAATGCCACCTTTTTTGGGTACAGTATATGCTATAGTTAAGAAATGACCTCATGATGTTCCTAGAAGCTGGTTCCGCTTCAAGCAGGTGATTGTAACGATGATTTCTGCTAAAGCACCGTAGAAGGAACTGCTCGGAGCGCAGTTGTTCGATAGGAGACATCAAGAAGCATCCTGACAAGTCGGAGCTTCCTCGTCTGCGTTTCACTGCAACGCCGATGTTTTCTTTGTATATTAAAAGGTGTAAATTAAACGGCGATTCCTAAATTTCAGTATTTTTATAATCAATAATGAATGACTTTTGAAATAAGTTCAGTTTCGAACTTCGAAGGTAAATATAATATTACGAATTTGAAGGCTAATTTCGAAAGCTTTTTTACACTTTAATTTAAGTTTCCTCAAAACAAAAATGGTTTGCTCCAATACACAGAAAAAGAGTCGTTTTTTATATATAGAACGGAAATAATAGTAGAAAATATTCAAAGTTATTTATTTTTATTGATATTTTCGCAGATGCTACTTTTGCATAGGATACCCCGTAAAATATCCAATTATATTTTAAATTTACAATTTTTAGATTAATGCCAAATTACAAAGAGACAAAATGAAATATTCTCCAAAAGCATTTTTCATTATTTAAGTTATGTAATTTGAGTGATTTTTCTCTTCTTTTCATCAACTAATAGATAAAATAAAATAAATAACTAGGATGGCTGCGTAGATTGACGTAGTCATTAATTCCATTAATTGTCAGCAGATAGATAATTAATAGAATAATGTAGCTGTTGATTTTCTTAAGGCATTTATTTCGAGTATTTTCACATTTACTATACACACGAACAACATACTTTTCTTTATATGCGGGTGTTATAGTTATATATATATATATATTTTATACAGTTGCTACGTTGTTGGTTGTTAGTTTTAATATATGTATTGGTCGATGCGCAGTTTCTCTAATCATAATTACTGTGAAGCTGAAAATTTCTCAAAGACACTCTTAATTCGTACAAACGAACATCTTCTCTCTCAGTCATGATCCACTTATGCAACATCCATACATCATTCCCATACAAGCTTCATCATCATTACTTCTTCAAACGTCTGAAAAAAACACATACAAAACAAATACGGACAGGTTTTAATACAACACAAAAATTACGAATTTCATATACATTTAGATACATACAAATCTACTACATGCATGACTAGAAAAAAATCAGTTGAAATTCAATTATTTTGCCATCGTTTCTTAAATAATCTTTATTTCTCATATTAAATTTACTGATTTTCAAGTAGTTAAAACATAGAACTTACTGTTTATATGTATGTTACTATAATAAAGGGATTTCATTTTACTGTTTTACATTTTTTTAAACTAGTTTTTATGTAAATGTTATATATATATATATATCAGTAATAACTCCTGCTGCTGCTTATATTTGTAGTTGATTTATAAATATATATATATTTTTTATAATATAAAAGTACATTTGTGTATATACTTGCATTATAATTTTAGATTTTTGTTATAGTTGTATTTTCTTTTCATCCTGTGTTACTTATAAAAATAAATTGTTTTCTATATATTTATATATATGTATGTATGTATTTATACACTAATAATATGTATGCATGGGTTTATACCAAAAGATCAAAACTACGCGTAGCTCCACCACTTTTGTTTTTGTATTTATCAAACTTTAATATTTTCTAAATATGATATTATTTTTGTTCGTTTTTGAAACTCCATCACTTTTGTTGTTATATATCGTGCTATGCTATATAGTGCAGCTTAACCTCTTCGCCTTTTTTCTATATATGTAAATTGAAAGATCATAACATATGCAAAAGGCCCTGTTGTTCAAATTTAGTTGTCTATTAGCTTAGCTTTAATTATTCCACAAACTGTTTTGACAACCTTTGAAAAGGTTCTTGATCGAGTATTCAACTTCTGTTTCGAAGTGCTTCCCTATTTTGCAGCAATTCTATGGATAATAAATATCCGTTCATTGCTGTTTACTTAAATTGATATTGCTTTATATTTTCTTTTTGTATAGCGTATCTATATATGTATGTACTTATACACGCAAATTCATAGTCAGTAGGGAAAACGTTAACGCCTATTTTATTGTTTTTAGGTTGGGTTGCTAACAATAATATTGGCTAGTACATAACCAGTTTTCCTTTATAAACGGAAAATAAGGTCAGTTAAACATAGTGTAATATAGTGTAGATGTAATTTTTTTTAAAAGCACGTCGCATAAATATACATAATATGTACGAGCTAGAATATTAAATCTCCATTAACGGAACTTTTTTTTCTTATACATAAATTTGTGTTTTTATCGGGGGAAGGGCTGTGTACAAAAATAGAATTATAGAATGTGGAATATTAAAAAAGTTTATGCCCATAAATGCGAGTTTCAAAATGTGGATATCGTGCTAATAGTCAACAGTTGCGCATTAAATAAGAAATAATACAAATTGCAAAAATATTTCATAAGCTATAATATGTTGCGAAACAAAAGGTTACATGAAAATGTAATTTTAACGCATTTACAAAACCGTTAGCGTTTAAAAAATATTGTAGCTTCATCAAGGGTTTCGCCCGCGACAGAAAAATTTTTATTTTTCCAGAAATTGCTGCGATAAAAAAAAACTTGAATTTTTATAACCCTATGCGGCGCGGTATTTCTTTGCTTGCTTCTATGCGCCTTTCATTTTTTTTTTTTTTTGTTTGTAATTGTAATAAATGTAAATTTTACATTTTTGTCATGTTTGTTCTAATAATACATATGTAAGTGAGTAGAAAATAAGTTGTTAAGCCTCTCTTCATTTTTTCGCGCTTTCCTTAACGCCCTTTTATTTATTTTATTAATTTATATTTATTTTTTGTGGGAAACTGTTCAATCTATATTGACAATATCAAGTAAAATTAAACGAACAATATCTAATTCTCATTTTTGATTATAGATAAACTCGCTTTCAGTATATAGCCAGCGTCGTTATTCACTGGGAGTCACTAGCTGACAGGGTCATTAAAGCAATTCACGTTAAATGATATAGTCTAATTTCAAGTTTCTAGAACACGATTGGGGATTCGCTCAAGACCCAGTAGTGCATTCAAAGCAGAGCATTGCCATACATGAGAACTGTCACCCAAGGAATCTGTTTAATGCGTTTTGCATGTATTTGATTAACGAACGCTGACCATGGCATAGAAATCTGTTGAATTTTGATAACTATGCTGTGTGTCAGTTTAAAGCATTGCTGCTCAACTTTTCGCTTTTTTCTAATGGCATTTGTTGTGATACTTGACATTTTGGTTTATAATATTTCACATTTGGGTGATCTGACAAACATGTAAAAACAGCTGAGTTTTTATGCGGTGTGTAAAATATAACTTCGGTTATACTTCACATGCAATGTTTATCTATGCACTGCTGTGCTATGTATACATAACAAATCTTTAGCGTGTGGTCTATGTAAGCGTAAGAAATCCGGACTTCTATCCAGTTAAGAATTGTGCTCAGAAGACTTTACAAACAAAATTGGGAGAATTTTGAGTTATTATATAGAAATATTGAAAATTGTAAATTATTTAACTACTAGTGCCAAGAGTTCAATATGCAAAGAAAAAAGTGCAATTCTTTAGCTCAAAAATATCTAATAAAGTTCTTTAAAATTTCCAAATATATTGATAACTTTTGATAAAAAAATCGAGATTATGTATAAAAATTTTCTTTTAGCAGCATATTCTCAATTTAACGCTTAAGTATTAAAAAAATAACGTTGCAATTTAAGGAAATTCTTACGCAACATTTAGTGCGGTTAGAAAGAAAAGTGTGGCATTTCTCAACTTAGTACTATTCATCTTATATTCTCTATTATTTTTTATATAATGTTATGAATTGTAAATATTTACAAAGATGTAATTTGTTCTAGTTTTCGTTATACATATGCTCAGTCTATTGCGGTTAATTACATATACGAATCGAGCAGAAATTTTTGTGTTACTTTGTAAAACTTAAGCTTCAATTTAAAGCGTATCAACTAATGGGTTTAAGTCGGTAAAAAGAAATTCTGCTGGATTGGTCAAACTAATAGAATATCATTGTTCTAAATATTTTGATTCAAGGTCACAAATTAGCTGGCTTGAACTTAAAGGGTTCCACTTGTAAGAATCGATTTTTTTAGTAAACCGTTTATGTTTTTAAATCCCAAAAATGTTTAAATAAATTGGCTGAGACTTATAGAGAAAAATTATATATGTATATATGTACGTAAAAATATGCCTGCATGTATGAATTTTAGGTGCATAGGGTGTGGTTTCTTGTGCGTGTTGTGGTTATAAGTAACTGAAACCAAAGTTAAAATATAGAGCTCTAGGTATTTTATGTCAATAAAAGCGAAAATATTTATTATGCAAAAGTTTTGGAAAGTAATGGTCAAATGAGTAAAGTAAACATTTCACAAATATGCTTCAAGATTTTACATCTTATTCAAAAGTATGAATTTATGTAGATAACTATGTACTATTTGCGATTAATTTATGTATGAATGTATTTTGTAAATGTATTTGGATAATTTGCGTCTCAATTACATGCAAAATATTAACTCTGATTAATTCAATCAACATTAAATATTCTAAATAATAACTTATTCGCATTGTTGTTATTGATATTATTGGCGAGAGCGTTATTGTATATGTAAATGATGGAGCGCTTTACAGCATGTGCGCGACACAAAGTTAACTATCAATTGTAGCTGATTGCGGCCGTTACGCCGCTCAGTTGTATTTACCATTATTTGCAACACACTGGTTTTGCTTTAGGCTAATTTCGAATATGCATACACACAAATCACACCCACAACAACACCCGCCGCAATATAGGTAATTAATGACCTTCGTTTCTTCGCCGCATGTTTGCTCTCTTCGGATTCGCGCTGCTTTCGCTTGATCTCGTTCACCTTGTGCTCGATATTTGCCTGTCGTTCGGCACGTTTTCGTCGCTTCAACTCGTTTTCGGGACTTCTATAGGATTGATAAACTTGTTTTTAGTATCGTGTACTTATAAAGGCGTTTTTGACTTACCCGACGGTGTTTGAATTACTATATGTTACATCGGTGCCGTTTAATTTAACTTCGCCCAATTGCTCATTAAAGCCGCCTCCGCCACCACCGCCGCTTGCCCGTTCACTGCTTATACTCCGTTCATGGACAGCGTTAGCGTTTTTCATATCGTCCGCTTTGTCATCGTTTTGTTCATTAATTTGCTCATCATTATCGTCGTCGTCGTCGTCGTCACTTTCATCATTTTCGTAACATTCGTTTTCATCACTCTCTGATCCATATACACGATCCAATGAGGCTTGAGTGATTTGAGGCTGTTGTGGTAAAGGTGGCAGCGGTCGATTTGACAAACTATCAGCTGTTTTTTCATTATTTATGAAATTATTCAATGCATCCTTACTGGTGTGATTTGCATTGTCGGTGAGTGCGTATAATTCCTCGTTAAAACTTTCACTGGCTGGTATTTTTGGTAATGGTTTACCATGTAGGTTCAATGTTAATGAACCGGCAGGGCTACAACCGGCCATTGGCAGTGTTAGGGAATGTGTGCGTGGTGGCAACGGTGGTGGAACATCGCCACTAGCTATTACATCTGTAGCATACTGTTCATGTGTGCTGTCACTGCTGGTAATTGGGTTTTCTTTGTAATTTAGAAATTCCTGCAATTATTTCGTAAATTAATATTTTAAATGTCCAACGAATGAGTAATATATATAAAAAAAAGAAATAACTTGAGTTGTGATATCTAAGAAAAAAAATAACTTACTGGATCTTTGAGCAATTTAATACCCTCTATGATTGATTGATAAGAGAAAAATAATTGATCTGCAGTCTGTATTAAGCCCATGCGATATCTGCGCAGCTCAAAAAGCACATCTTGCACAGAAACATTTGATTCGCCTTCCTTCTCGATCTGCAGGTAAAACAAGGAATATTGTCATATTACTGTGTTACATTTAAAAGTGCTTTATCACACACTAACCAATACTAAACAGCAGTCAACTAAACAAAATGTGCCAGAACGGCCAATACCAGCGCTGCAATGCACAACTGCTGGTCCCACATCGGCATCGAGTGCTCCCGAGTCCCGCACTTGTTTTAGAAATTGTAGAAACGCTACTGGTGAACTAGGAATGCCAAAGTCTGGCCATGTTGTGTAGTGAAATTGCAGTATTTCACGGCTGGTATTTGTCTCCAAATCTGTTAGCCTACAGATGAGTTTTGCGGATTTTTGTAGTAAATTTAAGTACTTGTTTAATTTAATTTAATTTTTTATATACTTACTTGAACCATCTGCGACAGAAGTTCTTATATTCTTCGCAATGTAGAAACTCAACGGTCAAATCAACTTCTTCTAATCTCAACGCGTTCTCAGGACCCTTTCTGTCTGGCCAATAGTGATGACATTTAACTTGTTTCTTTTCCATTAATTTGTTCAACATTAGAATGGCTTTGGTATTTTGTTCCCAAACCATTAGCCAAAAGTGTCCGACGGTGTCTACTAGAGGTCCTTGTGTTAAAATATATTTGCGATCGGCACGTTCCAGCTGAATGGAAATAATAGAGAAATAAGGCAGATGTTGGGTGTATTTAAGGGAGTACGTACAAGGGTTTCACGGCCTCAAAAAAATGTATTTTCAATTTCATATTTCTAGAATAATGTTATAATTTTTCAATTTTCTAATAATTACTTAAGCAGTTCGACGTTCAATGTCAGCTCTATTCTTACTCAAAACTTTAAACTTGCTTTACGCTAGTCAAAATCTCTCGAGAAGTGTTGCACCGATCTTGATAAAATTTTATACAGATGTTCGACTCCTTAATACACTCATTATTATTACTGTCTTACCTGAACAAGGTTTGCATTTATATAGTCTACACTGCCCCTATGTATGATGATGCGAGAGTGATCGTACGGGTTAACATCTCTGTATCTGTTTAGGCAGCGATTGTAAGGTTTCTCCGATTCAATAGTGCCAAATTGTTTTTCACTAGCTTCACGTTCACAGTGATCACGAATTTCCTTTAATGAAAAAATAAATTCATTTTTAATAATTCAAATATGTATATGAATTAAGTATTTTATTCACTATACATATTTTTACAAACCCTACGACATGCCAAATTTAATGAAGATATTTTGTAAAATAAAAAAGTATTTCACATTGTGCTTATTATATGTAGTCATATGAAAGTCAAAAAACGTCACGCTGATTTGTTATTGAGGCGACTTCCTTTGATGAAACATTACATTTACTCACGGCATACATACACACACACACACACAGCACAGATGGCTTAAGACTTCGTAGTGATATCATGCCACACACGCGACATGCAATTGAATGCATTACAACAATATAAATACATACACATGCATACATACGTATGCGTACTTAAAACGGCAGAACACACACAAAGGCCGATAAAAATTACAAGATTTCTGAGTATTATGAATGAATTTCTGTTTAAAAAACAACAACAACACATAGGCAAAGGCAAAGAGATAGAAACCCCGAACATGAAGCAACTGTTGTCAGCTCGCTATCATGGTGACCGTTATAATCGTCATATATAACACTTTTCTCCCATGCATAATTAACTAGGCTAACAAATTTTAGCGGCGTTTGCAGCAATGTGCAAGAGTGCCTCATTTTAACTGTTGTGTATACATACATACATACATGTAGTTCTAATCAAGGTAGTGCAAGCGGTGTGCAGGCAGTGCATTTTGTTCCTTATATGTACATATGCTGTCTCTTATACACATCTAGATGTGTATAAGAGACAGCATTTTAACTGTTGTGTATACATACATACATACATGTAGTTCTAATCAAGGTAGTGCAAGCGGTGTGCAGGCAGTGCATTTTGTTCCTTATATGTACATATGTATGATCAATGTCGTGTGGAAATGTGAAAACATTTACTTAGTTGTGCTCGCGTGTGTGCCGGTATGCAAACACTACAACACGTTGTACATACATATGTATGTATGTAAACGCACGAAGCGTACAGTGCGAAATCCATCGTTGAATATCTTACAATTCGCAACGAAAATTGAATCTTGTACTCATTAAAAATAAAAACAATGCAATCGTTGTATACATACATACATATGTACATATTTACCTTGAGAACTGGAGCGAAACAGAGTGCGATGTCAGAGCTAAAGATGTTTTTTAAGTGTAACAAGAAAAAACGTTAACCTAGGCTGCACTGATACCCTTTACATGTGCATTTTTTATGGCATAAAGGGATATAAAAAGATAATTTTCTTGATTTTGGCTAGCTAAGTACATACATACATACATACATACATGTATATGCTGTAGTGATTAACTTTGGACAATTTCTCCACAAATGTAGTGATACTTTGGTTAATAGTCTACATACATATGTCAAATTTCGTGAAGATATCTCGTCAAATTAAAATGTTTACCATACAAGGACTTGATTGAATTCGATGAGTCAGTTTGGTACTATGAACAAAAAATAGTAAGACTTTGTTCATAATTTTACAATTTTTAATTTATTCTTCAAAATCGATATCGTCCTTTTCAACGTTATCATTGTTGGTCGCAATAAACTTGTGACAACGTTTTTTTTCCAATCCTCGAAACGTTGTAAAAGTCAATGTACGGAATAGCCTTCAATACGCGTAGCGATTCACGCTTAATGTTTTCAATTCATTCAAAACGGTTTTCCGGAGCAGTCGTTTGAGTTTACTATAAAAGCCAGAGGGCACACGGAGATAAATGTGGTTGCGACACGAAAACTAAGAGTTGTCGGCCCATAATTCTGACCTCTTTTTACGAATATTCGGGGTCTATTCTAGATAAGTATCATGTATGCTACAGTATCCCACAAAAGACGGTTCTACGCACCGGAATTGACCCGGATTTTATCCGGCCAGGAGCATAAACCTAATCTTGTTTAGTTATCGATGTATGCGGTATAATCTCAACTGGGAGTTTAAAATTCTTATTTTAGGTATATGGTGGCTATGGATTATATTATAATATATATTGCAAAGTAATAGAATTAGATGGAATTTAAAATTGTGACATATGGGAAGTTGGTGTGGTTTATTCCGATAAGGCCCATTTTTACACTGTAATATAAGAATAATATATACATACATATACATATATTGAAAATTTGTAAACCAATTCCCATGAAACTTTTAAGTATAATCGTGGCTGTGAAATATTTATAATACTTCCACAGTTTAGTGAGTTATCGGTTTTTCAGTTTTCAACGCAACCGTTATTTAGGAGTGACCGGGATTATCATTTTGTTTAAGTTTAGATGTTAAAAAGAACCGTTAGGTGAAGGAAACTATTGTACTCTGTTGCAACATTTTGCGAAAATATATGTTAATAACTGTATTGTCAGTCAGAAAATTATTATTCCATTGCATATGTTTATAAATACACTTAAGTGTAAACATTAGTTTGGTAGTTTTTGTATTTATTTGTTTTTGCATGACTTGTCACATTTTTGGTTATTCCACTTTTCATTCCTGTGATTTACCTATTTATAATTTTTATCAGCGCAGCCATCGTAATGGTGACGTTTCGTACACACAAACTTTTACGACAAAGTAGTTATATGGGAATTACTCATCAATTGGTGATCGATATATGTACAATTGCGGTCAAAAAAATAGCACTACATTTTCTACTGATAATATTTTAAAATATATTTTATAATTTTTCTGGTCTGGCAGCAATCACTGTGTGATATCGTTATGTGCGGTGTGCTCTCTAAGTTTTAACAGAACTTAAACAAAATTGCTCGGTTGCTCCAGGAAAATGATGCGAAACGCTTTATATTATGAAACGAAAGTGGAAACGCGTGGCTAAGAGCGAGGAATATCACCAAGAATTATAGTACTTAACCAGACTATGCAAAGCAAAGCCATTTACGCCAGCAACGCACCTAAAAAAAAGAACTGAATGTGATTGTTAGTGTATGGACAGCTCGCCGTCATTAAATGCTTGTAGCCCTAGGAAAGTGCCGTTTCTCACTACAAAACAAGTAGCAAAGCGCATGTAATTTGGGAAAATTCTCTTAGAATGGTTAGCTGAAAGGTGGAGATAGATTCTTTGGACTGACAAGAGCAAGGTCGTTTTGTTTGGTGACTGGGGATCCCGATACTACCATACGTTAGAAGATCTATTAATGCAGAACATACGTTGAGATATACCACAAAAGCAGTAAAGCACGGCGGCCACAGTATAATGGTTTGGACGGGATTTTTTCACAATGGTATTGGCTCAATTCATTAGATAAGAACTAGGATGGATCAGAATGTATACGTTGATATTTTGCAAAACGAGATGTTGGCTGTTGCCCGAGATGAAACGCCACTAATTTGGGCAATGCAGCAGGATAATCTATCGGGTAAACTTGCTGCACTGGCCTCCGCAATCGCCAGAACTGAAGTTAATTGAAAATCTTTGGGTTGTTTTAAAGAAAACTTTGTTTATTTGTCAGCCGAAAAACAATACTGAGCTATGTGTTGGTATTGAGCGGACTTCAAATGCGATTCCCATGGAAAGACGTCAGAAATTAGTTGGCTCCATGGCCAGAATCCTGTTTGTTGTACTGAGTTTATATAAAAGGGAAATACTGTATCGTTATATATCCCAAGATTTCGTTTGTCAAATATTTGAGTTGCTATCATTTTGATAGCGGCTGTATATGTATGTACATACATGCTCTCTGCCAGTTGTTTTGTTCACATGCGTACATATCATAACATAGAGTCGGCTAAATTCGTATTCATACATCACATTTTATATGGAAAATAGTATTTTTCCACTAAAAAGTTAAAATAAATATGTTGCAATTATTGAAATAAAACAAAAACAAAACACGAGAAGCATTTTACAATCATACATCGAATTTCGGAGATATACATATGTAGATACACAGATAATATAATACGTACATCAACCAAGGTATAAGGTGTTTTTTTAGAATGTGGAGTTGGTCTTTTTGACAGCTGTTATTTGATTAATGCTTAGTTTGGTTTGCCATTTCATAATAAACAGACTTACTCCTGAACCACGTATATATGAAAAACGTGCAAATATCGGTCCAAAACCAGATGGATTTTCACACGACAATTTTTAGCGAAGAAACTCACCTTTGGTTGATTGGTTGAGATGTCGTTACATCTTTAAAATGTCACTGTTAGGTGTGCTCTATGGGTAGAGGCAATCATTGCCCCCTTTTACTTCAAAAATATAGCCGACCATAATGTTACAGTCAATTGGGAACGTTATAGAGCTATACTTAACGACTTAAGGCGGCGCTACATTCCAGACAGCCAATTTATCAATTTATTATAGGAAACTTTTCGTGGGCGCATTATATCGCGTCGTCAGTCGGTATTTTGGGTTAGGTTAAGTGAAGTCCCTTGTCGTCTTGGAAGATAATATTTGGCAACTTCATATTTTGGAGAAAGTTGTGGAAAATTTAGTCTTCCGACTCGAATTTTGCCGTGTCAGCTTGCAAGAAATCATTTTCAGAACCTAATGACAAACTCTTATCTTTATTTCACATTTAGTGGACGCAAAGCGAAATTCTTGGCCATAACATTATTATATGCATTTTATTTATACTTGAAAATCACATGTCTAAAAAAAAAGTTGAATTAAGTTAGATTGGTACTTTGAGAACCTTCCATTTTATCTTTTTTTGTGAACATAACTGCACATATGTACATATGTACGTAAAAATAAAGTTTTTTTTTTACAAAAGGTGAATTTTGAACTTTTCTTTACAATGCCCAGTTAGCATAGACAAACAGCACTGACTCACGTTTAAGCACGGTAATCAGCTGTTCGTTTAATATATACACATAATATAATATATGTACATGCATTTGCCAGACAATGCGTTCTATGCCTCGTTATTATGTATCAACGATCATTAGCGTATGAAAATCATTTACTAATTTGAAAGTTCACCAAATTGAGCGACGACCGCCTTGCTGTCTGACTGACCTTCCAGGAATGCCGTTTGCGAGTTTGCTTTCAATTTAAACGTTTTTATACTTTTTGCAAGTTTCCGTTTCACCTCTTTTCGTTGAAAAGCGTTACTAAAAATGATTTGAGCGAGAGTGAGAAGAATGTGACATGGAAAGGAATATTATCCAATATTATAGTATTATTGCTTTTAGCACGAAATAAATATTAGTATGTATACATTTTCTCGGAAATATAGCGATTAATGTTCAAATTGCGATTTTGTGGGAAGTTTGCTTCGAAATGTGTTTTTTTTTGATTCCGTCTTAGACAGGCCTCTGCATGCAAATGTATGTGTGTCATGTCTGGGTATCTGGATGCTGTGGTGAATACAATTTTCATTAGCATGTATGTGTGTATTTACCTATATATGCATTTGTTGTGAATGTTTCAAGGAAGGTACGGCCCAATTCCGATTTCACCACATTAAGCACACTTCATTCACATTTTTCATTTCATATTAATTAATGTACACTATAAACTTGTAAATAACTCTATATCTTACACTTTTAGCAGGTTTTTTACCTAAAAAATCTGCATTTTAAAAATTACATTTTACACTCGTTTTAACTCCATTTGTTTGCCAAAAATATCGATGAAATGAAGCGCTGCCATGTGATGATAAGGCAATTTGCTGAAATTCCTCTATTCATGCATATGGATATTTTCTTTTTTAAATTTATTAAGCAAATAAGTAATATTATATAATAATATTGTATATATGTACATATGTATAAGTAATATTATATAATAATATTACGTAATAAAGTGTAAAGTATACGAAAATAGTAGTACGAAAATTCAAATTTTTAATTATTTCAATGTTTAGAGTGCATATTTAGATATACAGAGTGAAAAACGTGATTAAATTTAATGGAAGATAGAGAAATACCTTGTGTTATTAGTGCATGTTTTTGAACTTTTAATCGTGAAAATTTAAAAAAATATAAGTAATTTTTATATTATTTTTGGATATTCCTCCTCTGGAGAAGCTCCCCTATCCGGACATACCCCATTTATACGGAAATTCGGTTTTTTTACCCCTCCGCCAAAGTAATCGGAATCGTGCCGAAGTTACGAATGGATCAAAATTTAACCTTGCTATACCCGCGCCAAATGTTTTAACACCTATACCCGCGCACGATGTGACAGACCGTGACTTTGACTCCTCTTACCTGGTTATTTTTCTATAAAACCGCTTATATTTTTTTTATTTTATAGGAAATATAGGATATAATAAAACAAAAAATAGCAATTGTTAACATAAATTATTTATTACTTTAATGACTATCAGTCTTTCCAAAACAGCCTAAAAAAAATATTTACGAAAAACTGTTTCGTCGGTCTCACAGGCATGTGCGCGGGTATAGGAAGGTTAAGGAACCTAGAACTGTGGAGGATAGAGTCATGTGTAGAAGTTCGCGCAAGTGGGGAAAGTTTCCCGAACGCCATTCACTTGGAAATGGCGAGAAACGATTATTTTACATATGGCTCAAGTAGTTCACGGCTTCTGGTCGTAGACCAATCTGACTAAAAACATCCGTGCTGTATAATATGACCCTTAAAGCAGAAATCACAAGAAAAAATCCTCCTCTTAATGCAAAAATTTTTGTCCGGACATCGAAATATTGGACTCTTCAGGATTGGAAAAGGGTTATCTTTTCCTGATAAATCGAAAGTTAATTTCAGTTAGTCTAATGAAATCCAGTACGTTTGGAAGACCACAAGAGGAATTGCTCCATGTACAGTGATAGCCAAAAACAAATTTCCAAAGAGTTACGTGGTTTGTTACAAATATATGTATGTACTGACATTATGAAGAACTTTTTGGAGCCAGCAATGAATTTTTTTTTTAATTTTAAAAGTTTTTTTTTAAACTTATTGCGTATACTTAAAATTTTTTAAATATCCCTAACAATTTGAAAACAATTGATTCGTCTATTTTTTGTTCTTTTTAATTCTCAAAACTCGCCTTTATGCTCTTCTAGAGTAAGATTCCCCTTAACATGAATCTAGAATTCTGAAGTACATTCAGTAAGATTACATTAAATAAAATGAATCAACACTCGGCACAGTTTCAGAGTTTGTAACAAGCTCTTTTGTCGAAAGCAATATATAACCTCTCAAATGGATTAAGACGTTATCAATAAATATGATTTTTATTACGCTATTGATGGCGGCTCTAGTTTTGATACAACACAATAATGCCAAGGGTTTAAATATTTCCTTTATAGTCGAAGTAACTGACTTCGAATTTCGAAATTAAAATTATCATTAATAAATGTATGAGATTCCGTCCATTAGTTTCGGTTAATATTACTATTAATTTCAGTTTCCTAGTGATTTTCAATAAAATACTCGATCAGAAGCAAAAACAAATTTACTTGCAGGAATAATTATTAATTCAAGGAAATCTCTAACTATAGGTATAATTAGTTTGTAAATATATTTCTGCTTATTAAAAATTGTGAATCACCTGAATCAAGGCAATATAAAAACATTATTTCATTTAAATTATATATTAAAATTCGTATAATGCAATTCAAAATAAGCAAGGTGAAAAAATGTAATAAAGTGACTTAACACAATTTTATTATGAATTTTAAAAGCAATAATTTCCTGCTGGGTTCAGTTGTAGATAACAGGTAGGTGTTTGTTAAAACAGCATATGTCCATACTCATTGACGGATTGCAGAAAATATAAATTCCTACACAAATATAATTCCCCTACAGCTTGTCGGCTCTTGTGATGACGAATTTCCAACAACAAATTATATCTTACTTGAAGCATGAAAGTACCTGCATCCAAAGAGGTCTGTATTATGACGTAACTATTAGTCAGCTGGCTATGTTTAATATTAATGTGAAATACAAATAACTGACTGTACATACATACATATGCGATATGTATGTAAGCAATACTGAGAGTGGGTGTGTAAACAATGCAAACCTAAAAGACATTCGTGTGCACATTAGAGAGACATGTTTGGTTTTAAAATTTTAAAAAGTGCACGTGAAGGGTAGGGATGGGTAAGGAAGGTTGTTTTTTTTATAATTTTATGCTTTGGTGAAATTCTGTTATATTACTGACAGTTTCAGAAATTATCAATTTAACGCCGATAATCGATCTGTTTGATAACATGAGCATCACGTCATTTAAAAATTGGTGAGATCAGTTAAATATTATGCCCATATTACTTATAATGCACCGAACATGTGATATGTTATCAGGGATTTTGATCATATACCAACAATTTAGTTTTTTAATTTTATTGCTTGGGAATCTTGTGTGCTTTTTTCCTGGAAATGCCCAGGAAATTTTGGAAGTGTGGAGTGTTTTTGAAATATAGCCTTTACTTCTTTCACTAGTAGCTTTCCAATCGACACGCTGAGCTTGATCTCCCCAACCAAAAGTGCACAATACAAGTAAATAAGAATTAAACATCGCTACATTCAATTGTATACAAATTTGTATACGCACACACTTTCGTACATACCAAGTACAAGCTGGTTTGTAGGCAATGACTATGTACTTTCCTAGTTTACTTCTTGATTCTCTCATAGATTTCGTAGAAGCCAGCATAAAATAGAAACAAATAAAAATAATAACTGTGAAGGCGATGAATATGTAGATAATACAGGGTTAATTAGAGCAAAAACTAAAAGCGTTAGAATTAGCGGAACAGCGTCTAAACCTTTTACTGGAAGGATTATACACCAATAAAATTGTATTACACTTCGTATTCGTTGAATTTTTGTTTTGGAAATTATTTTTGTATAAAATAATCGCAAATTGGGCAAAAATATTGCATTCAATTTTCTTTGGAGAGCATTCACCCCACTGCGGGTTTATTGTTTACTGTTTACCTGGTAGCACCTATGCCAGCCTTGTCGATCAGCGATTCTATTATACTCAGCTTCTATGGTGCCGCTGCCGCTCCCGTTGGCATTACCTGCCGCTATGGTGCTTCCGACATTATCGCTGTCGCAAGTACTCGTTGTTGTATCATTTCTATTAGTAGTTGAAGTCATCTTTTCACGTTTTCGGTTCGTTTAACAATTTATAATATTCTTTAAAATATGGTATTTAAATGAATAACCAATATGTATAACTTTTAAAAGGTGTAACTTTTTTCGTGGTTCACTTCGTTGAAACAGTGTAATAATTGAATGTCAAACATTCCACACAAGATTACTTATTACTTTCGTTTTAGCCACAATCACATTGGTATGACTTATTTCATGATAATTGCCGGAAACACACAGAACACTATGTTACAATAATTGGAAGAGTGTATCTTTGTAACTTTTATTATAGATTAAAAGAAAATCGAGTTGCACATTTGGTGATAAAAAAACTAAGCAAAGCGATGAACTTGCCGATTGAACACCAGCTCTGCAAAATATATATTTACTTTGCAGTACACGGGTACACTATTCCATAAGCTTTATTAAAAACTCTATATTTATTCGTTCTTGTTCACACTATTAGCAAAACGTAATTTTGCATTTTGCAAGCAAAAACTAAGAAATGTAATGAAGAAATTTCGCACTTTAATTCGTCTCTCACTTTTTTGTCCAATGGTCGTATTGCCGCTGCGAATTGAATAGTGTGTCATGTCAAACAAATTGTAGGGTTGCATCATGAGGTACTGCATAGTGTTGCCAATATTACCTTAAATTAAATGTATATTCCACAGGGTGTACAAGAATTTATAATTATTCAATTCTATTAAGAGTACATAATTTTTCTCGATTTTATTTTTTTATTCATTTGTTACTGTTAAAAAATGTAAACATATGTTGGCATATCGGTTATCTCCCACCCATCAGTTAAATAAGTGGGTAACTACCCACCAGCGCCATCAGAGTTTCTGTTAAAGTTTCTATGAGCTCAACAGACAACTTTAACCGAAACTCTTGTGCAAATATGATATTATTTTACAAAGGCCTTATGAATTGCAGGGTGTCTAAGTGTTAGTTTTCATGCTAATTTATTCAATGCATTTGAGTTTGGGTAACAATGACTGGCTGTGCTCGACTACAGTCGACGTTAAGATATTAGAACCAATTTCTTTTAAAGGTGATTTAATAAAATTGTGATTTTGTTTAAATACCGCTAGGTAATTCTTAACAAAAATAACAGAGTAAAACTTTGCACAAGTAGTGATTTTAAGGTAAAGATTCTTCTACCAAAAGAAGGCCTTGAATTCTTACATACCGCAAAAAGTACCTAACATCATCTTCCATGTAAACGAAATTGACTGAGCAGCTCATTCGTGGCATTTTTATCTATATCGCCAAATAGTACACACAGTTCACGGCTCCAAAGCTTTTGCGACAGTTCTCTGGAATGCTCCATTTCTAGAACGAAAGTAACGAGCGCAGGCTGTGATGTGCCTTCTCGAGGATAAGGCAAACTAGATTTGTGTTCCAATCATTGGGCATATATTCATCAGACCAAATCGTGCTTACCAACTTTTCCAACATCTCGAAGGCGGCTTAAGTAGTTCAGCCGGTAATCAATCCTTTTGGGCTTTGTTATTCATAAGCCACCTTTAAGCTATTTTCACCTCGTAAAGAAGTGTTCGAGTGTACTCAGTGTGTCAGTAATAAGGTTTCGTTACCTGTCTTTACAGAAGTCGGCCCAGAATTTGAAACCATTTGTTTGCTGCCTTAACTTCTGATAAAATTTTCACTCCGAACTCCAGATAGCCAGCATTTCAAGCAAAATACGTTGTTCTTCCCGTATTTTTTTTTTTTTTTAACTGGCGTAGACATCGCTTACGCGGTTATAGCAGAGTTAACAACAGCGCGCCAGTCTTTTCTTCTTTTCGCTTTTTTGGCGCCAATTCGAGATACCAAGTCTTTCTCCAGCTGATCTTTCAATGGAGTGGAGGTTTTCCTCAGCTTCCTAGTTGTTCTTTGGTATTCTACGTTGTTGTTATCTAGTGATGCTACTATTTGAGACACTAGATTTTTGTGGGGTTGGGTCTATCACGAATGCGTTTTTCAAAAATTGCCTTTCTTTGTCGTATTTCCCACATTATGTGCTCCATATTCTCGATGATCTCGCCTCCGTTATAATCGTTGTTTTCATGTTTGAACATGTTTGAACAGGCGTGTCCAGTGAGGATTTGTGTGAGGTAAAAATATACGTCTCCGTGCAATCTATTAAGCCATAGTTCTATTTTGGGGATTAATCGGAATGTCTAGCGGTCATTTCGGCTGTCTTCCCATCTTTTTAGCCAGCGCTTCACCGTATCTGTTTTGGGCATTCTCTTTTTGGGTTCTGGGTGTTACTCTCTCATTTGAAAGCTACGTGAGCTCTTTGGCTAAGGGTCTAGCGGCTGTTAGCTGCGATCAGTAAGGCAGCGTTTGCGGATACCGTACAAAACTAAGAGCAAACTCTTAATGCGCATATGGTGGCAAATAGGCCGCGAAGATATAATTTGATTTCAAGGGCTTTCTTCCATATTTGGACGCCAAATAGAGCAACTGACTTTTATTTTTATTTTATTAAAGCTTACATAATAAACAAATTATTAAATAAACTAAAGTACGCAGCGCTACCATCAAAGGCTTTCGGCTGACTGGTGCGAAAAATTAGATACTTGTTTAAATGCAACGAAGAAGATCTGTATCCTTCAGATAACTGTAAATTTTAGATATGTTGCTAATAGTTGGGTTCATTAAAAGCTGAACAGGATCGTYATTGTTAAAGTTTTTAAGTCTGAGGTTGTCCAGAGCAGGACAAAAAACGAGTAGGTGTAGCACACTGATCGTTGACTCACAAAAGGGGCATTGGMTGATGTGACTACCGTCCAGTAGGTGTGCATTGGTAATGATAGTGTGTCCAATGCGGAGTCTGACGTACGGAGTGATGAGATTGACWGGCAGAGAGGTCGGAAAATTAGGTGTCGTGCGATTTGGGTTAATCCTTGAGTAATGGTGATTGTAATTTACCCAATCAACAGCTAAATTGGAGGTTCTCCGTTGAGCGATGAGCCGGTAGATATCGCCTTTATCAAATTGGCAATTGAGTCCGCAAGCATGTTTCCAATTATACCCGCGTGGCTGGGAACCCACATAATTCTGAGTTTATGAGGAAGCGATATCAAAATATCTYTGATGGCGCAAATCATGTAATTGGAGTTATTGCAGTTTTTTATAGCTTGAAAGCAGGATAAACTGTCAGTACAGATAATATATTTTCCTTTGTTTAGCTTTGAGTATTGAACAGCTTTAAGAATTGCGGTAGATTCAGCAGTAAATATTGAACAGAAAGAAAATAGCAAGCCATACGA